TGCTTTCTTATATAAGAACTGGGCTTCTGACTTTTTTTTTTACTTTTTTTCCCTCAAAATTTAATCTTAATTTCCTTTAATCTTTCCTTTGTCACTATAGCCTCTTTTGAGTTTAAATATTGAATGGGTGGAAACAAAGCTGAGGAATTGTCTGTGACACCCAAATGCTTTTAGAAGGCAGGAAAGAAGCTGGATGCTATAATTAATATAAAAACCTTCATTAATGGATCTGTAATTTTTCCTTTGTAGAAAGTGTCAGAGTTTGCCTGGCACATTTTTGCTGTGCATTTATCCAATCTTGTCTTGTATCATGAGGTCTACTTCCCTGTCCTTTGTTCATTGTTTATGCTGATATTCATTCTACATCCTGACATTTTTCTGACCTTGTGGTCCAGAGTCTCACTGCTAGGTCTTTCCTAGCCAGTGCTTCAGGATAGAGCAGTAACACATTACTAATGATGATTCCTTCTGTGTCTAGCCTCACATTTGTACACAGCATTAGACTAACTTTGAGCCTGTGTAATGCTTCCTTTTGTAATCCCTGACATGCACAGTTATCATCCAATGATCTTTAATTTATGAATACTGAGTATATTATTGACAGTATCCTCTGAATGTCATTGTGACGGCTACCATTTTATGCACCAGGTAAATGATTTTCTTGATTTGCTTAACCTTTTCTTTTCCATCCTTCCTGTTGGTTAGTTCTCTTTTTTTTTTTTTTTTTTTTTTATTCCAGTGAAATTCAAATGTTGCAAAGCACAGGCACCTTTCTTACTCTTCTGCATTGTCTTTGGCATTACTGAGGGAACACAAGCATGATAAATCATGTCACCACAAGTTATCTTATACAGACCTCATTTCCAGTTGATTTCAAGTTAGATTGAATTTCCAGACAGTGATTTCCAGTTAGATGAAACAATATGGTGAACTAACCCAGATAAAAAAATACACTTCTTTGATGGAGTATATAGGTTGACAGGGGGTGAACTGAGACAGCCAGCATGGTTTCATCAAGGGCAAGTCCTGCCTGACCAACCCAGTAACATTCTATAATGGAGTGGCTGCATCAGTGGGCAAGGGAAGAGCTACAGAGGTCATATATCTGGACTTCTGTAAGGCCTTTGACATGGTCCCTCACAACATCCTTCTCTCTAAATTGGAGAGGTATGGATTTCATGGGTAGACTATTCAGTGGATGAGGAATTGATTGGATGGTAGCATTGAGAGGGTACTGGTCAATGGCTCAATGTTCAGATGGAGATTGGTGACAAGAGGTGTCCCTCAGGGGTCTGTATGGGGACCAGTACTGTTTAATAACTTCATCAATGACATAGGCAGTGCGATCGAATGCACCCTCAGCAAGTTTGAGGATGGCACAAAGCTTAGTGGTGCAATTGACATGCCTGAGGGACATGATGCGTTCCAGAGGGACCTGGACAAGCTTGAGCAGTGTGCCTGTGTGAACCTCCTGAGGTTCAACAAGGCCAAGTGCAGGGTCCTGCACCTAGATCAGGGCATCCGCAGTATCAATACAAGCTGGGGGTTGAAGGGATTGAGAGCAGCCCTGCAAAGAAGGACTTCGGGGTACTGGTGGATGAAAAGCTGGACATGAGCTGACAATGTGCACTCACAGGCCAGAAGGCCAATCATATCCTGGGCTGCATCACAAGAAATGTAGCCAGACAGTTGAGGGAAGTGATTTTGCCCCTCTACTTGGCTCTGGTGAGACCCTACCTGGAGTACTGTGTCCAGCTCTGAAACCCTCAGCACAGAAAAGACATGGGCCTGTTGGAGACTGTCCAGAGGAGCACCACGAAGATGGTCAGAGGGCTGGAGCACCTCTCCTATGAGGACAGGCTGAGAGAGTTGTGGTTGTTCAGCGTGGAGAAGAGAAGGCTCCAGGTAGACCTTATTGTGGCCTTTCAGTACTTAAAGGGGGCTTATAAGAAAGGTGGGGGCAAACTTTTTAGTATGGCCTGTTGCTCTAGGATAAGGACTAATGGTTTTAAACTTAAAGAGGGTAGATTTAGACTAGATATAAGGAAAAAAAGTATTACAGTGAGTGTGGTGAAACACTGGAAGAAGTTCCGCAGAGAGGTGGTAGATGTGCCATCCCTGGAAACACTCAAGATCAGGTTGGACAGGGCTCTGAGCAATCTGATCTAGTTGAAGATATCCCTGCTCATTGCAGGGGAGGCTGGACTAGATGACCTTTAAAGGTCCCTTCCAATGCAAACTATTCTGTGGTTCGATGATACTCTGATTAACCAGCTTGATTTGCACACAGTGAAAGAAGATGGAAACATAATCTAAATTGGAGCATCTACTTCGATCAGTATGAATGACACAGTCATAACCACAAGAAGCAATATGTACACATTGGAGTGCAATTCTCTTTAGTTCGATGTCAAATGGGCTGCTGATGCTTTTGATTGTTCTGGCTTCTTTATTGTAGTAACTTGAGTCTGCTGAGTAGTTTGCTAAACACAGAGGAAAACCATTTGTAGTTAGATTTTCTTGAATCCAATGTGTTTTTTTTTTATTTTCAGATAAAACATCCTCTGTTATGTGTAAAACAAATCCTGTAACCTGTACTATGCACTTTTTCTGGTAAAAATTTCTAAGAACTAGTTAGATTTTAGGGGTCACAAGTAGATGGGCTGTTTTCCCTGGCATCATTTCAGTTCTGATTTTCAGCTTTTAGGAGTGGAAGAAAGCAGTCCAAAGACATTGTAGTATTCTGCCTACATGAGAAAAGTGAGAGATAACTGTGCACTTTGTATCACCCTTGTTAGCTTCACAGTGGTGAGCCATATGCACTGATGTTCTAGGCTTTGTGTTATCTTCTACTGTCTCACTAATCATGTGTATGCTTTTATACTTTTTTTTTGGTTTGTTTGTTTAATTATTCCAGTAAGCAACCTATCCTATACAGGAGCTTTCTTTGATTTTGTTGGTGACCTTTGTTCCTTCTTTTTTAACAGTAGCTGTGGTTCCATCTTAGCTGATTAAATCAGTCATTGTAGTATGAGCACTTTGTCCTTTAGAGGGCATTGTATTTTTTCACATGCTCTAATACTTCAGTAGAAAGCAACAATTCCCACTGCTAACATGTTTTCATCCTGGAATTCATTTTTTTCAACAGAAATCTAGAAATGTGTATGTATTACAGTTCATTCATTCTTTATTTTCCATTACAGCTCATTTAACTTTTTCTTTTTTTTTCCCCTCAATATTCTTCAGCAATGTGTATGAAACAGTTTACTAAGATTGTTTTCTCTGCCAATTTTTATATTGCTCAAATTATTTATAGAGGCTGAAATATTTGTCTTGCATACTGTGGTGAAGATCGTGTGTTAGAATATTTAAATACAGGTTCTTGGTAAAATTTTACAAATATTGAAAAACATTCTTTTTCCGTCCTTTCTGTATTACACAGTCATTTATATTCCTACAGAACTGATGTGCATTGCTTAAAGTATGTTATGCTATAGTTCAATATTAATTGCTTGCAAGAAGTACTTGATTTTCAAAAGAAACCCTATGAGCAGAGACCACATCTATTTGGTTTTCTCCATTCTATACATTCACAGTATATTCTGAAGAAAAACGGTTTCCCCTTTCATTGTTACTAAAATCTTTTACAATCAGCCACAGACTATCTTCAATACAGTAACAGTGTGTTCATGCAGAGTCTTCAGTTTTGCTGGCATTGACACCAGAGTTAGTTCAAATGTTTGATTTGCTAAGTCCCCAGGCAGAATGAAATAACTCTTGGATTGTATCTCAGCAGGGGGACAAAGTCATCTTTTTTCTAAATAAATGTTCTTTTTATTCCACATCCACTACTAATTCTCCTCTGGGGCAGAATTTATGGCTGCCAATCAGCTGAACTTCAGAAAGGTTTGTAGTGTCAATCTTTGTTTAGTATCTTCACCAGAGCTGATGGCAGTTATGTTTAAGCCTGACATTAAAAGACTAAAGACTCCTTAAAAAGTTTGATTATAGTAGATTTCATGCTGTATTTCTTCATTTTATTTACTAGGTAAGATTTAAGATTGCTGAACATTTTCTGATACATCTTGAGTTTGAAACATTATTAAATAGATGGAGCAAATGTAATATAAAATGTTTGGTACTTTTAATACCTTCAGTTTATCCAGCGGTTATGATCTCTTAAGCACTGTGTTTTACAAAGATGAGGGAAGGTAATATCTTTTTTTTAAAGAATCTGACTCCTTTATAATTGTACATCGTTTTGTGCCAAACTACTGTCTCCTTTTTTCCAAACTACTGTCTCTCTTTTCCTATCCAAAAGTTCTTTGCATTCTGGGAACATTAGAGCAGAAAACACATATTCATTTTTAGGACTTCTAGTAACCAATTTCTGAATGGGAAGCTAGTGTGACCCGACTGTGATACTGTCGCTTACCTAAAATCTTTCTCCAAGTATTTTTGCAGCATACGATGGATAAAATATTGCTGCCCTCTACCTTCCAACTGTTTTCTCCATATACTGCCTTCTGTAAGAGCTTTGATTACTTCAGGTTGCCACACTGTGCAAACTAGGTTTTCAGAGTTGCTCAGGAGTAGCTGAGTGATTGAAATAAGACTGAAAATTTCAAATGTGCCAGGATCCACAGATTATTCTGTATCACTCACCAACATTGTTGATGAACTTGGCTACAGTGAAATACTTAATAGTTTCCACTGACTTCAAATACCTGTAAGGCCTTCATCCTACATAAAAAACATATAAACAATAAATCCAAGATAAAGAACAGATCTTGCACATTTTCTTGAGAATCTCTCCAGCTGTTTTGTTTTACGCAGACAAGATGAGAGGAACAGATGAGATGAAAGGTACTGGCACCCCTAGAAGAATGCCTTAGTAAAACCTGACATATAATAAAATACAATAAGAATGCAACGTGCAAACTTGCAGTCCTATAAGCATATTATTCTTTTTCATGTTGCGTCTAATATTTGTCTTTCAGAAATCCAAAATCTCCACTTACGACAAGATGTGGGCCTTCATGAGTAGCAGGAGGCAGTCAGTACTTGTCAAAAGTAATGAAGAAGGTATCCAGCGTGTGCTTACCTCTGATTATGCATTTTTAATGGAGTCAACAACCATTGAGTTTGTCACACAGCGGAACTGTAACCTAACACAGATTGGAGGCCTGATAGACTCAAAAGGTTACGGCGTTGGAACTCCCATGGGTAGGTGCTATGTCAACCATTTGTTCTCTGTTCATTAATCTTAGTTGCTTCAGTAGCACACAAAAGCTCCAATACACTGTTGCTTTCTCAACATTGCTAACATTTTTTCTTCTTCTCTTTTTCCCATCTGGAAAAAAATATTATATCTTTTATCAACATTTATGGGTTTTACTGAATTTTCTAAACAGAAGTTACTTTATAAAAAAATGGACATTTTCATATGATATGTTTCTCTTATGTAGTGACTTCCATTTGTTAAACAACAAAATACTTTTCACTGCACTTTATTTTATAAAAAAATGTTTTTAAAATATTGATTTCTAGAGAATGAGGTGCTAGTAGTACAAGGCTTGCATTAGCAAATAGAGATAATGCTCCTATACTAAGAGGGCTAATCACTGGGATTCTTCAAAGAGGAGGAGAGGTTCCATAACACACCCTGTGTAATCCACAGACAAAAGAAATGTTGAATTAACTTTGTGGAATATGGTTTTGCAGAGTAATTCCAATCTTGCAAATATTTTCTGGGTCAGGTGTTCTTGAGTAGCTACAAAACCTTAGTTGCAAGATTAAGAGCTAATTGCAGACATTAGTCTGGCTGCTAGAATCCACAGGATGGTATTCAATCAGCACTGAGTTGCTGAATTCCCATTGGCTGCAGTGATTTTTGGAGGACACGAGCTGAGAATCTGGCTTCAGATTTCAGAATAGATAGGAATAAAAAATGGTGTGACACAAAGACTCTCTCAGTACTGCAAAATGAGCCTACTTAATATTGGAAGACCATTCTGCAAGGCCAATATTTACTTTAACTTCATTTTTAAGAAGAATTTATCACTTAGTTATTGATGTGAATATGTTTTATGTTTTTCTCAGATAGGTCTTACGTATGGTACATTTGGTACTGATTTTCTCTGTGTTAATACTATACACTAAATCATCATATAGGGAAAGTTGCATCCAGTACTGTAAATGGTAAGGAAGGTTAAGAAATAAACTTTACTGGAATATCTTGGATAAAGAGGTATTTACTAGTATTATCAAATATATGTTTCCCTATATGTTTTAGATATTTACTGCAACTTTAATAACATCATTGTAATTTTCATTATTTCAGTAATTTGCTATGAAATGGACACTTCCTGCAGAAATTATGATTCTATTCGTTCTGTCTTTGAACAGTTATTTGTTAGGAATCTAGTTTTAATCTATATTGCAGTTTTTCCACCCTGTTCTATTGTGGCTTCTTATATCGCGGAATATGTTTTGTAGACATGTAAGTGACAGAAGGGACTGGACTTCAGCCCTATTGCTGTTTTTGACACCTTGTATTTTCTGATAGATAAACCTTTTTTTTATTTTGAGGGTGAAAACCATCTTCCATTTCGCTTTAGTATGGTGAAAGTTAAAGCTTCGTGACAGTTTGAAATCCTTGAATAAGCTGCGTGCAAACTCATGAAGCATCTGAAGCATACCTGAGAAATCTAAGTGCCCACGGAAGTGCCAAAGTGAGAGTTCAGGCTATTTTACAAATGATTTTGACTACGTGTAAATCAGAGAAATAGCATAAACGCCAGAGAAAACAGAGGAAAAGAAAATTAAAGCCAGAAATGGACTTCTAGAGTTAAAGTTTTGAGGAAGAAGTGTTGGGTGTAAAGACACAAGGAAGCCTCTTTTGGTCTTGTCCCCTAATTTACCTGGGTAGAACAGGCAGCATGCGTGCACTATTTCTTCATTAACTTTGAATCGTATCAAAGATATTATTCAGCAATTATTCATCAGCAAGATTCCAAGTAACAACATATTATCTGTATCAAGAGAAATAATAGTGTTGTACAAGCAGATCTGCGAGCTGACAATTGTCTTGAATCAAGGTGAAACAAATAAAGGACATACTAGCAGGAATCATAGAGCAGCAAAGAAGGTAAAACAAGAGTTGAAAAAGTGTTAAACTTAGCAAAAGAAGTTGAAGTAAGATCTGAAAAAAAAAGATGAGGCCTTCAAGAAAGGAAATATAACAGAACCTAAAATAAGACATAAGTTTTTCACAAAAGACATGAAGGTACAGTGACACAGCATCTCGAGCTATCCCAGAACATCTAAGAGTAAGATATTAATCTTGTGTTAGGGCAGTATCTATAAAATGTTATCCAGAGAACTAACATTTAGAAAAGTTTTGTATCCTGTGTATTAGCTGCACAGTCTCAGAGGAAAGAGATTGGGCAGCCTCTTCTAAAAATAATGCATAGTTCACACATTCATTTGAAAGGAGATCTTAAGAAGAAGCATATCCATTGTACCAGTCAGAATAGTTTTTGTTAAATATATTGCTTTATTTAAGCTAAGAAATCTTTCCTAGCAGTGGACAGTACAAAACAAACCCATGCATTATAGCTAATCTCATTTCTACAAGAAAACATAATTCCAAAGTCTTTAAAACAACTTAAGACATGGTTAAATCTACAGAAGTAGATTTAATCATTACTTAATGTTTATGGAATAATTTTATAGACATGTAATTGAGTAATATCTTTTTAGAGTTAATAATCCTAAGATTAACTTGTCAAGTGCTTGTAAAACTACAGTGTAGCAGTTTCACAAACAAAGCACATGTTACTGCTTATGCCTATTTGGGAAGTGATACATCTCTAAGCAATAAAGAACAACAATACAGAACTATTTGTATTAGAGGCACAGTATCTGAATGATAAAGATGTCATCTCCCCAAATTTACAAAAATACCCAGTTTATCTCCTGGAATAGTGTCTTGAAATTGCGGAAATATTTGCATGTAAGGTTGAATTTGTCGAATAAAGTTGTTACAGGCCTTATGTTGAATACAGTAGAATGGATATGGTTGTTTTTGGAGAACAGCATCAAAGGGTGTAGGTGCAACATATCTTGTTCCTTTTGAAGGCTAATGGAACAATAGTTAGTGAGAACATAATTTGCTTGAGTCTAAGTAGCTACAAACAGAAGAGCTAAAAGCTTTCCTAACAGAAAAAATATGCTATCAGAGTAGTTTATGATAGAATAATCACTCAGAAAATGCAACCACCCAAATATAGCACCATCTTAGGGTACTACAGTAAAACCTCTCTGCTCACGATGTGAAAGTTATAAATTCAGAGAAAGAAAGTTGGACAAGAGGAGGAGAAAAAAACAGCAGATGCATAGGTATCAACTCCTTCCAAATACACTGAAGCAGCAAAATCTGAGTGTACATGATTATTTTAATCCTTCTAAAAGCATTAATGAAGTAAACAAAGTTTAGATTACTCAAATGTAGCCTTGATGAAGGAAATTGGAAATTATGTACCTTTGTCACAAAGAAGGACCAGTGTATCCCTTTAAAATCAACAAAATACACTTATGTTTGGAATAGGTGCAAGGCTGCATTCTGTATGATATCTTTTCTGTTAACTTTATTTAATAAGTTACATATGACACCCACAGCACTGAAAAATACATTAGAAATAGTGAATTGGGTAACATACAATGAATGATTCTTATGATACATGTTTATAAATTGAGGTAACAGTCTTGTATATACTTGAATTCATTTTCAGTCAGCCACCTATGGTGCTAGGCTAGAAAAACTTCATTTATAATGAAAAGAGAAGGGAAGAACAGACCTGGGATGAGATGTTTGACAGCAACTGATACTTTGCAACAGATAAGGGAGGACCTATTTGTAACTGGGGTTGTGTTTGTTTTATTTTCTGTCTTTGCAACTTTGTTTATAGCTTTGTGACCAGGATTGTAACACTTGCTTTGCTAGAGCACTCCTCTCCCCCCCACCCCCTGCCCCCTTCCAGTTTCAAGCTCCACATGTCAGGATTTTGTATTACCTTTATTCTGGCATGTCCTATTAGGTGGCGCTATTTTACCAGTCCTGTGTTCTTCATCAATGAATCTGGTAGACAGGAAAACTTTTGTTAACATGCATAAAGCTTGAAGTATGCTGTGTAGTTTATTTCTAACAATAAATATATGAATATGTATCATTACCTACTAGAAATACATATTATTTCAGTTAGTAGTTAGAATTTAGCTTTGTTTGGGCATGCACCTCCTCATCCAAGGTTGATATTTGAGGGAGGAAGAAGGGGAGGGGTGGAGGGAGGGAAAAAGAAAGAGAGAGAAACAGAGAAAAGACACAGAAAGCAAACGAATGAAAGGGGGTGGGGACAGAACAAACCCTTTGCGTATGCAGAATAACTTCTGGTCTTAAAGATAGATTCTTGAAAGTGTTACTTATAACCTCCAGTAGTTTTAAAACTCCAATTTCTTCATCATGTACGATAAAGGTATTTAATTTTTTTTTTTTTTTTTTTCTTTTCAGTAAATCCCAGTTGGGATAAATTTGCCACTGCAAAAGATTCCTAAATGTTTATGATATTTCCACTTGCCTATGGTCTTCTCATCAAACAGAAATTGTAACTTTTTTCAAGAAAACCTAGTCTATCCAGCAATATGACTTACTGAAACACAGTTAATACAACTTTTCTATGGTCAACATACTGTAAAACACAGGAATATTATGTGAAAAATGCTGTTTTCCATAATGAGTATTTATTAACGTCACTGTTAATGTGAAGTGAACATGAAAGGTTAGAAATTTGCTTCTATGCACTCTATATTAGGGCCTTAATGGTCTGCAAAGCTACTTTTCACTTTTTTTTTTTTTTTTACTTTTTACTCTCCAATTGGAAGAAACATATTTGAAATCATGTTTTGTAAAAAAGCAAATCTTCATCTCTCTGTGGTGGTTTCAGGTACTTATTTCTTTTCCAAATTCTTGTTTCTCTTCAGCATGTTAGACAGCAGGCTACTTTCTGTCTGGCTTGGACAGATTTTCTGTTGAATTGCCATTTGCTTCTCTGTTGAACCTGGAATACATAAATGGCTGACAAGTGTATACGTCAAACCCATTCCATATGAGCAGACCTACTGAGCATGCACTTTTCAGATGATCTGCACTAATGTGGCAACTCAGG